CGAAAATGCGATCGAAAAACCGATGCGTGTAGTAGATTGTTTCCAAAGGATCACGAAGCAATCTATTCGCGCATTTCAATGGGCGAGGAGCTGAAAGGAACACTGGCGCACTAAAAAGTATACCTATGCGAAAACATTTGGCTTTGTCAGCTACGGAATAACTTCCCTGAGTTTACTGACATACAACGTTAAGGAGCAACAACCACAGTAGTTGCATGCGTTGCCAAATTCCCAATTAATTTTGTCAGTCATATATTTCAGACAATTCAGGAAACCAGCTGATCTTTAATATAGCGTAGCGTAGGGGTGAAACTGTACCGTAATTGACGAATCAAAAAGACACATTCGGCTACGATTCAACGAGCGCGTCCTAGGTGGAGAAAAAAAACTCCTGGGACTTCCACTGGTGATCATTTTCTTTTTGCACACCAAAACTTTGAGATTCGGTGTAATGAGAACCCCTTGCCTGTTAGATTTTGCAAAAAAAAAACAAGACTATTTGCATTGGGAAATGCGTGAAAAGATCCTAATACGCGAACTGAAACTACCTACTGAAATGAAGCATTTGATCCTGAGCAAGAATATACTATTTACCTGCACAAATCTAGTGTACAGATGATAGTGTACAGCTACAGTGCAACAAAAGTACTAGTGTACAGATGGTGTACAAATATAGTTTACAGATAATAGTGCACAGATAATGAAGTGTCATATCCCTGTAAATTATTGTGTTATATGACAACCCGCTTGGTTTCTGTCCTATGTTGGCGTATTTTGGGGAAAGGTTGCGTAATTTTTCACCGTTCAGCCCCCTCCCAAGCTCACTTAGCGAAACCTTGAAATATTGCAGAGCTTTAGTGTAGCTAACTGGCAGCGGAAGGGACAAAGCGGCCGACGAAACCTGTTGACTACCCCATGTTTCGAGCCTATAGGTAGCAAAAAATAGGAAGCCTTTATCATTAAGTGCACCATGGTCGATAACCTATCCTCTCCAGAACCTGGTGACTGGGTCGGGTCAAAGGTCACCAAAAAGGCCCGACGCTGCGTGAATAATTTGCTAACAGCTCATACTATGAGACCGATCAGCGTAGAACCTTTACCAATTGATGTGCCATAGTCAACATTATATCCTCTGTAAAACACAGTGATCTTGGGTCGGGTCAAAGGTCACCAAAAACGCCCAAAAACTACGTTGATTTTTTTCCAACCCTTGTGCCGAGCCTACGGGCCTGGTCAGAAAAAAACCTTCACCAAGCTATGCGTAACAGTCGATTTCCTGCCCTTTCCAGGCCATGGTTACCTTAGGTTAGATCAAAGTTTATTAAAAACGCCCGAAACTGGACAAATAGGGTTGTAGACAACTGGGCACAAAATCTTCAAGAACCGATGCGCCATGGTCGATATACGATCCTTTACAGAATATAGGGTCTTTGGATCAGTTCAAAGTTCACCAAATACGGCCATGTCAACTTGAAATTAGTTTGCTGACAGGTTCATGCTCCAAGCCTATGGAACTGATTGGCAGCAATACCTTTACAAATCTGGGCGACATGGTCGATAAGCCATCCTTTCCAGAACATGGTAACCTTAGCACAGGCGGATCCTGGGAGGGGGGGTCACGGGCCATGGACCCCCAAAAACTCTGAGAGTATGCTTTGCCCCCCCCCCCTCAAACATTCCCAGAACTTCATAAAAGTTTGGTCTACTTACCGTCCGTTTTAACTTGGCTGGTGCGTTACCAAACATTTCTTTCCGTTTCGGAAAAAAACTTCATGACGAGAAGTTGGCAGCGATTTGAACATCAAAACAAAACGCATGTTGACGCGGCTTAGCCATACTCGGCTTACGTTACGAGCTTTGTAAACATGCATACTGTATGAAGAAGATTTAAAAGCATTTCGGTGCTTGAATGGTGTCCCTACTAGGTACTCGCGAGAAGCACCATGCAATGGACCTCGGATCCCACACCAGCCAGCTGGCGACGAACGGCTGCCTCCCCCCCCAAAAAAACTCCAGGCTAGATCCGCCCCTGAACCTTAGTTTAGGTCAAAGTTCACCAAAAACACCAGAAACCGGAAAAGGGATGCTTTTAGCGATTTTGGGCGTTTTTGGCAACCTTTTTGATCGGACCCAATGCCACCATGTCCTGGAAGGGATAGATTATCTCTGTGGGGCATTGATTGATGACGATTTTGTGTCTATGAGTCCCATAGGCTCGGAGCTTGGGGTTGTCTGCAAACTAATTTCAGGCTCTTTTGGCCGGTTTGTGGTGGCTTTTTACCTGACCCAAAGTCACTACGTTGGGGAGATGATAGAATGTCGACTTTGACGTTTCGATCACTTAAGTTTTTTACCATTAGTCCCGTGCACTCGGAGCATGTGATTGTCTGCAATCCTATTTTCCCGGTAGTCGCCGTTTTTAATTGACCTTTGACCTGACCCAAGATCAACATTTTTCTGGAAAAATTGGGTTACCAACGATGGCGCGTCGATTGGTTAAGGTTTTTCTGCAAACTACTAACTGTTCTGTTCTGTTCAAAGGACTCAGGTGGTTTGGGCCATTTTTTGTGACCTTTGCCCTGATGCAGTCACCATGTTCTGAAATGAATATATTTGTATTATGGCACATCGTTTGGCAAAGGTTTGCGCTGATTGGTCTGCAAGGCTCAGGGCATGGGGTTGTCAACAAACTTATTTTACGTGGTGTTGGACGATTTTTGGTGATCTTTGACCGGATCAAAAATCGTCATGTTTTGGAGACTGTAGGTTATCAATCAGATCGGCCATTAGTATCGGCCATAAATAAAGGTCTAGGTTCAAATCAGCTTCAAAGCTTCTCAGCTTGGGGCCGTATGCTGCTGGCTTTGGAGCTTTTAAGCGTTTTTTTTTTTTACTTTTGATCTAACCCAACCTCAGATCGCCTATGTTGCATCAATCGGTGAAGGTTTTGTGCCGATCGGTTCTACAGGCTCGGAGCATGGGTTGTCTGCAGCCAATTTGGGTATTTTTGAGCCTTTTTGGTAAATTTTGACCTTACACAAGTTCATAGTTCTGTAAAGGACAGTACATCAACCATGGCGCATCGATTGGTGGAAGTTTTTTCCCGGTCTGTTCCATAGGTTTCGAGCATGAGGATTGTCTGCATCCCCCTTTCTGATTTTTAGTATTTTGTTGGTCTTTAACTCAATTCAAGACCACCTTATCCTAATCATGGCAATTATTAACCAAGCAGCATCGAACGGTGAAGATTTTGTGTAGATCAGTACCATATACTTGGAGCATGGGTTTGTTAGCAGGTTTTGTCGGCTGTTTAGTCCCTCCCTGTCATAGCAGTGAATTAGTACCGTCTGTTGTCTTGTTTGAACATGACGGAGGTCAACACGCGACGGAGGCCGCACTGGGGGGGGAGCTGTGCAAGAATTGTTAGATTCAGTCAACGCAAGAGAGGGATCTGCGGAACGCTGTGCATGACAAGTAATGGAAGCAAATGATTATGTCTGGGCTTAAGCTTCTGGCGTGGTTTGTAACGTTCATTTGATATCCGCATGCGCTTCGTGTTCGCTGACCCAAGCACAGCAGGTTAGGTTAAACATGTGTTCAGCTTTCAGGTTTGCCGGTGCAATACGTTGGGGAAGACACTCAGTCCCAGGCGTTAATGCGTTCGTTTGTGAGTATCTGAAGCCAGTAATGTTACTGGTAAGGCTCATTTGGTCCGCAGTTGGGTAGAGTGGCAGGACCTGGTGTTCAAACTTATTTCACAGTTGTGGGATTGCATTTTTGGGCATGTGTGGTGCTTCAGGAAACAAGTGGAGTAATTTTGTATTGTAATTTCAACCTAAATCTAATCCACAGTAACTCTCCTGTTCTATCTTGAAATATTTGCCTGCGGCATTGAATATAATGAAAATGCCTCCAGCACAGTTGAGGCATATAACGGGTGCAAACTCCAGATCCGGTTTTCACTGTGAAGATGAGCAAATATAAATAATATGTTTTGTTGCTTTGAGACATGAAGAAGTCAAGGAAGAAGGCAGCTAGTACACTTTACAAACAATGCAAGTCCTCATTTCTGCTACCTTGCATCTTCCATCCCTGTTGTCTATCCAGCACTGGTCCCCAACAAATTATCACTTTACACTTAATGTTATCAAATGGTTTCTACTGACCTTGTACAGTGCCAGCTGCTAGGTCTAGCATGTAAACTCCTCAGAGATTGCTATTTCCATTTTGTGAATCTGGCATTTTGAACATTGAATGCAATCAAATCATACTCAAGCTATGCAGTTTACACTTCAATTGGATTGAGTTGAATAACCAAGAAAGTCAAATCTACATCTGTTTCTGGCCAACATGGCATCTACTCAGGAATTGTATTTGATTACTCTGGAGCTAAACACAAGTCTAGTTGTCAAAAATGGTTGCCCAGTATTTGATACAGCCATGACAAGTTGTAATCTTTGGTTGATTTATGTACTAAGTTTGGCTGTCTTGAACTTAATTCACTGTATTCAGGATCACAACTGTAGCAGACAAAAACTGTCTATAAGTAATATGAAGACATACACCTAACTGAAAGCTCATTACTGCCCAGAAGTATTTTGAGTTGCAGAAAGAACTCATACCTGTACATAGTTCATATGTTAATGCCTGGCAAAGAATATCTTATTTGTTTTTAGGAGGGATTATGTTGTGCTGGAACATGATCAATGGAACCAAAAATTTGGATGTGTTGGTGTTGTATGTGAAATGTTTGAGTATTGTTGTATTCATCAGTTGGTGAATTCAAAAATTAACCAGCACAAACATTGCTAATGATCTGATAACTTGACATTGTCATGATCAGTGTGACTAAGATCAATGCAGATATTCCACATTTGTATGACATTTTGAACTGAGATTAGATGACCATATAATGATCATCAAATGCCTCTCATAGCCCTGTCTTTTCTAAGACTTAAAACCCTCTGATTTATAAGCTAGACACTCACAAACTCAGGCACTCTTTTTCATGCAGACTTTCCTAAGGTCACCCAGGTATGCATGATGTTGAAATATCAGGTAGATGCTGCCACACAATTGGCCATACAGTGCTTAAGGTCAAGATCAATATAATCCACAAGTTATGCATGCCTGGTGTATATCAGAGCTATTTCTGGCACCAGTGTGGTTCAAATGGCTTTAAAGCAATGTTAGCATCCAGTGCAAACTTCAATTGAGAATGTTGTTTTGTGCTACATGTACAAGAAGTTGGACAGTTGTGCAAGTTATGATGAAGACAAGACTGTGAATCAATCAAATGATGTAATGATAACACCATAACTGAGCATGTGAATGCATGCAAACAATGTCAACTTGCAGATTACTGTGCAAGAACACTGAGAAGCAGCCAAAATGAACACTGATGCACTGGAACAATGGTGCTTTGAAGATCAAACTATAGGTATACTTACAGGTATACAAGTGGAAAAGACTGCTTAGACCCAAAAAAGTCATTGAGTGGGTATGCTCCTCACTACATCATTGATTGATTGTGTCATAAAGTTTATATTTATATTTATATTTTATATATAAGTTTACATTTTATGATGGTAGAGGTGCTGCCAACCTGGTGGTGCAAAATTTCAACCTGAGCACTCTTGTAGCACTTAAACTCGCCGAGAGATGACAGTGGCAGTGCTGGACATGGTTGCCAAAACAGATATGGTTAGGGGCTTGCATTTTTCCCCTTTGTCACTTGTATTCACATGCTCAATTTTAGCGATATTCTTCAGTTATTCAATTATAAGTTATTCCTGTATTGACTAGCAACCATATTCAACTCTTACATAATGTATCTCAAAACAGAATTTGTGTTTGAATCTTGCGCTGCCTATGCAACATTGATCAAGGTCCAACTGAAGTCCATTATATCCTGAAACCATGTTCACGAACGCCGGATATGAACGACTTGACGATTATACTCTTCTTAGCCTTGAACGCTGAATGGTCAATGGGCTGGTAGAAACTAGAGGGTTTTAGGTCCTGAGAATGGCAGGGCTGTGAACTACACTAAATGGTCTTCTAGATGATTGTTTCCATTCAAAAGCCGTGCAAATGTGGAACACTCCCTTGAAAGTGAATGCTATATTTTCATCACTTTTTATGTAACCATGCACCATAATTTTCCACAGGTCTCAACTAAGGAACCATGGAGCTTCTCAGAATCCATTTCCGGGGATCACCTCAACATAGACGTGACATTCGATTGAACTCAGATGAGGTAAGAGTTTTGCTGTTTGTCTAGCATATTGCTTCAGTCACTGGGAAATAAAAATTCACATTTTGAACTCTTGTGATCATACAGTGGGCTTCTCTGTCAAATTTTATGTGAGGTCATCCGTTGTGGATATGCGCCCTAGGTCAGATCGTGATAGCTGGGTCTCATTTGAGTGATAAGATGGCCAGGCAGGACCACAACATTGTCATATAACAATTTGGGTAAACATGGGACCCACAAGATCAGCTACATTGAGTTGCATGTATCAATGATCTCACAGAGCATCTCATGTACATTGTGTACAAGTTCACCAATAGTAACGCAGCACATATGTTCTTCAAGTTTTAAGCAAAGTCGTGGATTATAGCACTTGGTTTGCTGCGCGTGACTCGCTATTTGGGCCGTGCTGGACCAGGTGGTGGTGGGCCGCTCGGCGGAGGCCACCTGCTGCATCCCGGATCCGCTCATCTCGCGGCAGCACGTGCGCCTCGTGCGCCAGCTGGACACCTGGACCGTCACGGATCTGGTGAGTGGCCGAGGACGGCGCTGCCCGCCCGTGCGCCCCCACCCAGTGTGTATGGGGTCGCTGAGTAGGGACCGCACACGGGGTCGGCCACGTCTGGTGACATCTGGGCTCTGGATCACGCGTTATCAATTCCTTTGAACCATATGTATTTCATGTGTGGCCCATCTTACAAGAGCTGTGCAGTTTGGTCTTAGACACTGGAGCCTTTGTGTCATCATCCCGACTTCTGAGGTGAATGTGAGTACCGCGGACGCTGGCTGTCAGTGCCTGGCCTCGTAGAGCGGATGTGAGGCAGACTTCCGTGATACGGCGGCTCACTGGCGCTGTGATTCCTCGTGGCCACCGTCTTGCGCCACCGGCTTTGCCATGGCTGCTGATGACAGCACATGGGAGGCATACACTACGCTGATCTGCAGGTGCCCGGCGTGTTTCTTTCTTGCCACGTCCGCACTCGTAAGTCAATGTCACCATTGGCTGATCGCTGACCTCACGTCAGCCGCCCAGCGTCCGCCGGCCTGCCTGACCCCCTGCGGCGCCGGCAGAGCATGAACGGCGTGCTGGTGAACGGCGCGCGCCTGGTGCGGGGCGAGCCGAGCCCGCTGCGGCCGGGGGACGAACTCCAGCTGGACCCGGCCGGCCAGTACCGGTACCGGGTCGCCGAGGACGACCTCTTGCCGCCGCCCGTCAAACGCGCGCTCGCCACGTCAGTACGGGGCCGCACGTGCTCAGACTGTGTCACTTGTGCAGCCAGAGAGCGAACCAGTGCGCCGTTCGTTAGACGATTTCCGGTCGCTTTGGCAGTGTTAGTCCCAGGGTGTTGCCGCCCCCCCCCCCCCCTAGTTTACGTTCGTATCACCTTGGTAGATGCTACTTGGCTTACCAACTTGGCAGTGCATGGAATGGCTCATTTTCGTTTCTCAATATGATTCATAGTATTGTCTTTTTGGGGGTTGTTGAAGCATGTTCTGCTTGCTCTGCTTTTTCAGTGCTGAGCATCAGCGAAGGGTGCGAGAAGAAAAGGAAAGGCTAGAAGCAAAGCTCAGAGAAGAAAACGAGCAGCAGCTTCAAAAAATGCAAGAAGAGAAGGAGAGGCTAGAGGCGAAGCTCAAGGAGGAAAAGGATCAGCTGGAAGTGCGTGTTACTCTGTTTGGACCATGCCAACAGCGGGGTTCAGGCAAACATTGCCATGGCAATAGCAAGGTTGTTCTGTTTCCAACTTTGATTGATAACTAGCGAATTCCTCGATTCTTTAGGTATTTTCTTCGAGCCAGAACTAGGTATTAGAGATGTGATGAACTATTCAATGAGTCATCGTGGTGCAGATGAGTGTGGTGTGTAGGTACATGTGGTGTAGGTAAGTCTTTTCCACTTAAAAGTATACCAATAGCTATAAGCGAGCCCATTTCAGTATATCTGATGCTTGCTTCAATAGTTTCAATTGTGCTACATTCCCTTTAACGACCTAGTTTGCTCCGATCAGTCAGGCCGAGATTGGCGCATTATGTGCCGTTCTGGTCGTACCAGAGCCGGCCCTGCCCCGCCAATCTCGCTGGGACTGTGCGGTGTGTGAAGCGTGACTGGAGCAGCTGTCACCGCTCAGTACGCTGGCCCTGCCCCGCCATCCCCGCGGGGATTGTGCGGTGTGAGGAGCGTGACTGAGGTAGCTGTCGTCGCTCAGTACGCTGGGCGCGCGGTGCCGGCCTGGCCCACTAACCGGAGGCGGCGCCGTTACAGGCGCGGCTGCGGCAGGTGCAGGAGGAGCTGCGGGGTCAGCAGGAGCAAGCCGAGCGGGAGCGGGAGCTGGCAGAGCGGGCGGCCCAGGTCAGCTGGGACGGCCGCCCGGCGCCGACCACCGCCGGCCCCACGCACACGACCCACCGCCGGCCCCACGCACACGGCCCACCGCCGGCCCCACGCACACGGCCCACCGCCGGCCCCACGCACACGACCCACCGCCGGCCCCACGCACACGGCCCACCGCCGGCCCCACGCACGCCGCGCCGCCCGGGACGGCTGGCCGGCTCTCCCACTCGTTAACTCTCCCATTGTCTTCATTTGGCTGTTCTTTGCCTTGGTCGACAAGGCATTACATTTGGCAGTCTGGACATGTCATCCTGGCAGGCTGTAATATTGCTCCGTGTCGCTCATGTGTCTAGGTAATGGCGTTGAGTGACATCTGGTAGGCGCGACTGGGGTGTCCGCAGTCTTGGAGGTTTTCTTGCATACCACTCGCATAGGTTCGATCATTGTGAGGGGACGCCGCACATCGTGGTCGAACTCGCTGATAAAGAGCGTTCTTTAAACATTTCCCCCTATTACCCTGTGGTGCTTAGCGGCCGTGAGCAAAGTTATGTGGACGGTTCTGAAAGCGACTTTACATCAGACATCTGAATTGTATGCTGCGTATGCCGCTGCCAGGGTGAAACTATCAAGTATTAAAATTCGCACCTACTAACGCAACAGACTTTACCATAGGAACGGGAGGAGTACGCCACGAGCATGGCATCATTGAAAGAAGAAATGGAAAAGAAGGAACGTGAAATGGAGGATGAAAAGGTCTGTTTTGATGATTCTAGGTTGATTTTTGTCCAGGTATCGGGTTTTGTAATGAAATCAGTGTTTTAGCACGCACTATGAAAGCTTTCATCAACGTGCAAAACCAGCCGGTGGGTAAAGCCTCTGGTTGGTGGTAGCATTTGCCATGCGGCTGGGGCTCTCTGTATTGATTTTCATGCCGTTATGACCCTCGGAGAAACGCACACTACGCCTGCTGTCTTGTTCCAATTTGTTACATACCAGCTGTGATAGCGTCATACCACGCGTCCGTGTCACCGGGCCTCCGCGACACGCGGCCGCCGGTGTGCCGCGCTAGCGTGACGCACTTGTGACGGTGTGATGTACTTATGACGTGTGACGGACGTGTGACGGTGCTACCGGCGTGTAACGGTATGACGAACGCGTGACGGCTTGACGGATGTGCGATGGTGTGACGGACGTGTGACGGTGCTACGGGCGTGTAACGGTGTGACGGTGCGACAGGCCTGTAACGGTGTGACGGGCGCGTGGCGGTGGGACGGACGTGTGGCAGTTTGACGTAGCTGTGATGGTGTGACGAACGTGTGACGGTACTACGGGCGTGTAACGGTGTGACGGACGTGTGACGGTGCGACTGGCATGTAATGGTGTGACGGACGTGTGACGGTTTGACGGATGTGTGATGATGTAACGCACTTGTGACGGTGTGACGGACGTGTGACTGTTTGACAGATGTGTGATGATGTGACGGACGTGTGACGGTTTGGCGGGCGTGTGACGGTTTGACGGATGTGGGATGATGCGACGGACGTATGACGGTGCGTCCCATGTCCGGCGCCGATAGAGGGCGCGCGAGGAGCGTCTGCGGCTGCAGCTGCAGGAGCAGGAGGCGGCGCTGAAGGCGCAGCTGTCCGCCGAGGTCAGCCGACTCCAGCAGGAGCGCGACGCCATCGAACACCAGCTCAAAGGTCAGCAGCCGGGCGCGGCGGGCGCCCGGGGTGCCGCCAGTGACCGGACGGGGGTGCTGTCGGGCGTCAGGGACCGGTTGATGGTCATGTGAGATCAGTGACCCCTGGTGGCGGTGTTGTCGCGGGTCTTGGTGCGAGGAGGTGTTCCTGAAGGTTCGTGAACTGGCGGGGGTACTGTCGGGAGGTCAGTGTTGCGAGCGTGCGGTCGGTGGTACTGTCGGAGGTCAGTGGTGGAGCGGGCGAGGGCACTTTCGGGAGGCCAGTGTTGCGAGCGGGCGGTGGTGCTGTCGGTGGTCAGTGGTGGAGCGGGCGAGGGTACTGTCGGGAGGCCATTGTTGCGAGCGGGCTGTGGTACTGTCGAAGCCAGTGTTGCGAGGGGGTTGGTGTACTGTCGGAGTCAGTGGTGGAGCGGGTTGGTGTACTGTCGGAGGTCAGTGGTGGAGCGGGTTGGTGTACTGTCGGAGTCAGTGGTGGAGCGGGTTGGTGTACTGTCGGGAGGTCAGTGGTGAAGCGGGCGATGGTACTGTCTGGATGTCAGTGTTGCGAGCGGGCGGCGGTACTGTCGAAGGTCTGTCGGAGATCATTGGCCCACTGCTCGTGTGTCAGGGGCCGGTGGCTAAGTGAGGATGTCCTCAGAGGCCATTGACCTGTCTGTCGCCGCTGGTTGTCGTGAGCAAGGATAAGACACATTTTTCTCGGGCGGTGGATTCAACGATGCTGCCTCGAAGCAAAGAAGTGGGAGTATGTAAAAAAGGGCAACACTTAGTCGGAAACCACGTAATTTCGCTCCGTGCATGCCTTGTCTCTCTGCACTTACTCGTCTCCTGCTTCCATTGGCATAAATTTGATATGAGACTCACTGAAAATCAGGAGAATGGCTACACATGGCCGGCCAACACAGCTAGGAGAGGTGTGGTCACTCTGTTAGGTTCTTCTGCCGGCTAGGGCCGTTGCTTCCGGCAGTGATGTGATCGAAGACAGCTCCATCCGGACGTTCCCATGTTACCATATATAAAACAAGGTAGAGTTCTGACATGCAATTCATTCGCATGACGTGTGCAAGTGAGGAAAGTTGGTATGCATGAAGTGGGGAGGGTGCAGAAAAGGAGCAGACTGAGCCCCGGGTTACTTCGCATGACGCCTACACGGCCAGCCCGTCGGAGAGGCCGCGTCACGGGTTTCGCGGCAACATTTTCCACGGGTACCTCATCCACGAGACCACCATCCACGGGAACCCCCGCCGCTTCACGTCGCGTTCAGTTGCATATGTTGCTGATTCGTCGTCTTGGTTCAAGTGAGGTGCCCGTAGTCCACGCAGTACTTCGACGCATTCGCATTGTATTGGCAGTTCATATCATAGCTCGTTATTACCTGCTGGTAGGCCTTGTAACGACAACACGGCCTTGGCCATCAACACGGCCTTGTAACAACACGGCCTTGGCCATCTAAAGGGATTTCGTACGAATTCGACTAATGTGTCGTCTTGAGCGTTTGGCGGACTGTCCATAGCACTCCTGACCTAGAGTTGGGCTCGTCCTGTTTTGGAAGTTGCTTGACACACGCCACCTAGCAACATCCAACAATCTGCCGAGCGTCGTGCTCCGCCGTGGGTGACGTCACATGTTCGTCTGCACATGTGACACCAGACCTTTCTAGCGCGCTGATACAGATTGGAAACACGTGTTCAGATCGGGAGGCAGGCGCCCAGCGAAAGCTGCCGGCTCTGAGCGGATGACCGTTGTCGGTAGGTGGCGCTGCGGTCGGCCGTTCTCGCGCCCTGCCGCGAGCACGTGGCGGCCGGACGGCGAGCTGGCGCGCCGCCAAAGCACGCTCCTCGGCCGGCGGTGGTGGCGCCTCTGGCGGCGGCGCGGCCGACTACCCGTGCGGCGCGTGCGGTGACGAGTGCGAGGGCACGGCGTGCGTGGCCTGTGACCGCTGCGAGGAGTGGCACCACCTGAGCTGTGCGCACCTGAGCGCGCCTCAGCGGCGCAGTCTTGACGTGATCCAGTGGTTCTGCGGGCCGTGCCGGCGCCGGCGCCGCGCCAGCGCCCGGTGATGACCGGCGCCCCGGCGTGGGGCCTCGGAGCGGACCCGTTCGGCTTGTGGTGCGCTCGGGTGCTTCCTGCTCGTGTCGCACAGTGTCCGCTCCGGCGCGAATGTGTTCTTAAGGCTCGTGAAGACAGGTGCCAAATAAATCTTGAGCTTTCAAAAGTTTTTATGTGGGTGCGCCAGCGAGCCTCCGTGGAAGCCCTGGGTCGGTTCCTGGGCTGAAGCCGGCAGGGGAAGCACGCACGTGGCGCCGGCGCGGTGCGGTGACCGCAAGAGCAGCTTTCCCTCCAGCAGTCGCACATCACGTTTATCCGTGCAGAGCTGGGGCTCACTACGACCGGCATGGGTGACCAGTTCGCACTGTCTCGGTGTCACGGTGCTGTCCTGGGGCGTTTTGGCGCGGCTTGTGCGGCGCCAGGATGGGTGTTATACCTCAGACGGGGAGGGCAACTAACTATGGCCGAAGACTGTACGACAGCCAAGTGCAGCGTGAAAATGAAGAGGGACGAAGTGCATGCTGTGATGGATTGCCTCACTGAGAAAGAGAAAAACAACCCGTGTTACTGCCGCGTTTTTTACATGCTCGCATGTACTAAGACGTCTGGGCTACACGGCTGCTAGGGAGGCTGGCGTGCTGGTTATAATTTGCGTCGAGTATTTTATGTCAAACCTGCCCATTTTATCCGGTTAAGCAAAGGAAAATCACTCCGGATCGACTCCCGCGATGCAACAGTCGACGCGGAAGTACAAAACAGGATGTTTGCAAAAAAAGAAACACACGGGCAGCGCACAGAATACCGACGGGAGCGCTGTGACAGACAGGACGGAGTTGTGGCCGCAGTGCCAGTCCTCCGGCTGAGAGTGGCAGCCGTGGGAGCGGGCACTCCACCGGACTTGTCGGGCGAAGCTGTCCTGCACGCGACAGACGGACCGCCATCCGTCTGTGAAAGTCCGTGAGCCCATGTTGTCTTAAAGTGAAATAATGGGTCGATCACAATGGTGCAGCTGGTTGTAGTCGGAGGTACATTTGGTTGTAGTCGGAGGTGCGGTTGGTTGTAGTCGGATATGCAGTTGGTTGTAGTTGGAGGTGCAGTCTGTTACGGTCGGGCTGTGGCTTACGTCATTGAATTCCTGGTAGCGTATGTTGGTGTGTTTCTGTCCCGTGGTCTTTGACGGCTCTGGTTGCGTCTAGGATGAAGCCAAAAAAAATCGCGAAAGACGCGGGAATGTGTGTTTGTATCTTTATCTGCCCGTGTGAATGGGATCACTGCCCAACATCCGTTTCACCCTGCATCAAAGCACCCGAAAGCCTAAATTTCTACTTCTTTTCACCCTGTAATTGTGTGAATTGCCATGGCTATACTATGACGCGAAACATCTGCCAGTGAAGAGTGCTGCAGCCTGGCAATGATCACTGCGACCATCTCCCCGCGTCGCGCAACTGTGACTTGAGCCCTGCCCGTCTGTGACGACGCCCCTGCGTTTCTGCCGCGACAGAGGAGCTGGTGGCCACTAACAAGGAGCGTCAGCAGACGGCGGCCGACATGCAGGCCCGCTGCGCCGCCATCGAGACCCAGCTGGGCGCGCTCGACGCCAAGCGTGAGCTGCTCGAGACCCAGCTAGCCGCGACGGTGGGTCAGACGGACGCGCCGCCCGCGCCTGCGGGGCTGTCGGGGTGTACGCCCCCCCGGCAGGTGACGGCCGGCGGATGCTGTGCGTGTCACGCCGTCAGAGCGTGCATGAGTGTTCTGCAGAGTGGCGCCTCGCCGCCATGCTGCTCTTCTCTAGATCCGTGATGTACGGTGTAGTGTTGGCTGGTAGTATGCCGCGCCTGCTCACGTGTGGGTCGTCGTTGTCCCCCTGCCCAGGTGTGGCAGTTGGATGTGTGCGCCGAACGATGGGGGGGGGGGGGGGAGACGGCGTGTACCCGATACGCCGACTGCTTCCGCGCCCGATCACCGGCGGTCGCCCCTCCCTCTCCCTTGGCTGCCGGCGGTGTCCCTGGTGCGCTCGCTGACAGCCCGCCCCGGCCGCCAGGAGCGCGAGAAGGAGGCGGCCTGCGGCCAGCAGTTGGCCGCCCGCCAATCGGTGCTGGACGGCTTCGACCAGCTCATGGACGCCGAGCTCACCTGCAGTGTCTGCTCTGAGCTCTTCTTCAACGTGAGTCGGCCGCGACGCCGCACCGCTGTGGCCAACCCGGGCGCCGGCCCGCTGTCTGTTCGAAAGCACAATATTTCTATGATTTCACGACGCGTGAAACGCAGGGTCTTTGGCTCCCCTGGTGTCGCAGTCTTACGTCGATTGTAGGACCTGCATCAAGGAAAGGGAAGTAGACGCAGGTGGGCCCAGCCGTTCGCTCAACTCTGTAGGGGTGTCTTTGTCGGGACGCCAGTGCTCATCGCCGCCGCCGCCGCCATCTCCGGCAGGCGCTCACGCTGAACTGTACGCACACGTTTTGCGCGTCGTGTATCAACGAGTGGACCAAGCATCGCCCCAGCTGCCCTATCTGCCGCGAGCCAGTGACGTCACGTACGCGCAGTCTCGTGCTGGACAACTTCATCGACGGCATGGTGGCGCGCCTGGGCGGCCAGGCGGCCGAGCACCGCGCCACCGTGCGCCGCGAGCGCGAGGCGAGCGGTGAGCGCGCCGCGCTCCACTCGGGCGTCGTGGGAGGACGTGTTCATTGGTCGGGTCGCGTCGGATCGGGTCGGGGGCAATGACTTCATTGGTCGCCGTTCACTTAACCGCATAGGCGTTTGTAGTTGTCGCACATTGGCGAGTTTAATGACTGGATGCGGTTGTGCTTGGGTGTAGCTGTGTGTGAAGTGTTTGGGGTGGTGTGTAGGTGGGTGCAGCCGTGTTTTCGTGCTAGTAGATGTGCGTTGTGCGTTTGCTTGCCCGTCATAGTCCTGATGGTCGTGGGCAGAAGTGACTCGGTGATTTTGACGTGATCGTGCCTGTAACAGCGGCGGCGGCGGCGCGGCCGGCGCCAGCAGCGCGCGGAGGTCACGCCGCCAGACGTCGCCAGCAGCACCAGCAGCAGCGCCAGCAGCTGCAGCAGCAACATCGGCAGCGGCAACAGCAACAGCAGCAGTGGCGGCAGCGACAACAACAGCAGCAGCAGCAGCAGCAACAGCAGCAGCAGGCCAATCGCGGTGGTTTCCGTGGCGCCACGCCGCTCCAGACGCGCGCCACTGCCGCCGCCGCCAGCCGGGCTGGCAGAGGTTAGTGTGGTCTGCCGCCACCAGTTGTGATCAGGGGCTTGCTGTCTCAGTGTTAAGGCGTCCACTTTTTAGAACTCGAGCTTCATTCTTTTTACGTACAGTCACGACAAGCGTGTTCATACGTCTTGTGCATCATTCCTGCTCCGGCTGTGACAAACTGGCGTTACCTTGCTTCAGGGGCAGCGGCGGCGGCGCGCGGCCGGGCCCGGTCCGCTGCAGGCCGGTCGCCAGCCGGCTAACATCGACAAGCGAAACGCTGGCGGCGGCGCTGACGGCGGCGCTGGCGGCCGGCGCCAACCCCACCCACCCCATCGTCATCGACGACACAGGTGAAGTGGCGTAAGTGAGGGACGGCGACGGCGGCCTGCCCTGAGCTCCAGGCCTCCGTCCGTATTCCTGCCCGCACTCACGTCCTTTCTGTCCTTGTCCGGCGTTTTGGTAATGCCATCGTGACCCTACCGGTGGTCCGGTCCTACTGTTTCCTCCCCGCGCTGTGCCTCGATCTTCGCTCTCCTGAACCGGCGGAGGGCCTGCCCGACGCTGCGGACCTCCCCTCCTGGCTGTACCCGGCGCTCTTGTCCTTGCGTTCCCCTCCGTACCCAGAGCTCCACACCTCCGCGTCTCCCCGTCCTCAGGTCAGGCCATACGCACATTTGCCTGCTCCCCGTATGAAGTGGCCTTTTCTTGTCCCGCCCCGCCGTCCGTCGCTGTTGCTTTTTGCGCCCTGCGCTGTTCGCCAATCTGTAAGAGTGTGTGTCATGTGCGTAGAGCAGGTACCACAGGTATGCCCCAGCTTGCTGGTGGGAGCGGTGCTTGTCTTGGCATGCGTGTGTCGCCCTGTCAACAGTTGTATTGTACGCACACTTACCGCGCCCTTCTGTGCGTGGCAGCCTACTACCTGCAGCACAGGCAGTGAGTTTGGGCCCTGGCCTGGTCGGCGGACGGGCCAGTCCTGACGGCTCGCGGCACCCGGAGCGCGACTGGGAGACGGCCAGCGAGCGCTCCGCCGCCGCCAGCCGGACCGACGCCAACTCCGACTCCGACCGCGACTCGGACTCGGCAGACTCGCGCTCGCGGCGTGACTCCGGGTCAGCCGCCGGCGGTGGAGATCGCTCGAACTCGGACGCGACGACGCACGACCCCAGCTCTGACTCGGCGGAGTCGCACAGCCGCAGTGACTCCGAGTCGAGCGGCGGCGGTCGGGACTCGGACGAGCGGGATGGCGGCACCTCGGCCGACAGCGGCACAGTTCGGGGCTCGAACTCGAACGACGAAGGCGGTCGCGGCGCTGCCAGCGACCTGGGCACAGAGGACGGCGCCAGTTCGCAATCGGCCGACACGGCCAGCGAGAACGACAGTGATTTCAGCTTCACCACGTGGACGCACGATCGACGCTGGAGCGACTCGGGCGACTCGGGCGACGCCTCCGTGGACGGCACCGGCGCCTACTACGGCGGCTACGGTCGCTGCTACGTGTGCGGCCGGCGCGGCCACTGGGCGCCAGGCTGCCCGTTTCGCTGAGGGGCCGGCACCGGAGCGCTGACAGCGGACGGGTGCCCGGATATCTCCCGTGGCGGAACTCGAACGATGCAGCGATGCCAGGCTGTTATGGCAAATACGATGCCGCGGGCTGTGTGCTATGGTGCCTAGAAGACTTGGCTATGTTCATCAAAGTCTTGACTCAGGATTTTCAGCAGTGCGAAAGAAAAGACGCGATCGATCGACAAGTTGTGGTTTGGCTTTTGAAGTGGTTTTGGCCACGTTTTGACCCCACAAGCCCGCTGTGTCATCTGTGCTATTTATTGCGTTTTAATGGGAGGTCAAAGTGCACGTCGATGAATAAATACTCTGTTGACGTTGATTGTAGCGGTTCTGTCTACGGGAAGATGAACATGAATAGTTTATTACCCTGCAGACAACTGGAGCCGGCTCGTCGGTCATAGCCGAACACGTCACATTTACCGGCCGTGGCGTCAACGCGCTGTGGGCGGGAGGAGCGGGACGTGAGGGTTCTCGCAGGGCGTTTCTTGCGCGTCCTTTGCCATCCCCTTCCCTCGCTCCGCCTGTGTCCGGGCCGGGGCACGTGGCGCAGGGGCGCAGTACAGCGGCGCGGCCCTGTCGGTGCCGGCGGGGCGGCGTAGACTTAATATCGTAATCATGGCCGAGCCGCCGATCCAGCCGGATCAGGCGGAGGGCCGCAGTCGCGGTCGCCCTCATACGCGCAGTTACGGCACAGAAACAAACACACGGCGTTGGCCGCTTGGGTATTGCGAGTGAGGCGCACAGATATACGTTGGTCACGGGTGGGTAGGTGGAACGATCAGACGCGGGAGAACTGCAAACCCCAGCACACCAGCGGTCAACGTGCTTTGGGACTTGGGCAAGGATCAGGCTCTACCGGCCCTCGAGGAGACCAACTGCAGTAACTGTGCACTATGAATTCAGTGACCCCGCGTTGTATCCGCTTTATGTTCGAATTTAGTGACACCGTGTTGTATCCAAGTCAACTCTGGGGTTGACATCTAGCGCGCTGCTTGCGGCTTAAGTGGTCTGCAGTGGTCTAAGCGGCGATCATCATTGAAATATCATGAGAAGATTGATATGCCATTGCATATTTCATTTATCTGTAGCACGAATGTTAATGCACAAAAAACGAAAAATACGACAGTGCCTATGCCATGCCCTATACCACTCGAGGTAATAGGATAACATGATGGTTTCCTAAACTTGATTTTTTATCACATTAAAAAAGAAACAGTAGTAGGTGAATATGTAAGTAACCGAACCAAAAACAAATATTGGATTTAGAGAAAGGCATTAGCCTAATAACGTTGTCTTTGATGTAAACGCAGCTTACTGAACGTATAAAAACCGCCGCGTAGATATGCCATTATGCTGGGGTGCTCTCGAAAATGGGTCCTTTGTGTTAACCATTTTGCACCGCAATGTTTAACGGAAGAAAATATGAACGGCTGGTACATGTGTAGACAAAGCTGCTAACATGCTACGTCGACCACTATTTCTGGATACACGAAACATTGCGGATAAAAGATACTAATATCCCAAACACATACATGGGTGTTAACTTTGTAAACGTCCGCTTCATCTTTTGATTTCAGGGCGTCAGATTTACACACAGGGTATTCACTGTACTGTATCCTTAGCCACCAAACTCCATAACGGCAAGACGTGTCGTGTTGATTAAGGTCTGTTCTATTACGTGATCAAAATGTTCGGCCTCGACGGCTCAAACACACATAAATGCACTCGGCAAACTGCTCACAGAGTTCACGTACTGAACCATGGGAATCGCTCGAAATTTGTATTCTCTTGTTGCTTTAACCTCAGCGACTGTCTGCAGCTGTCTTCACAGGCGTGGTCCTGCAGGTCAGCCCACAGAAAGACGTTGGGTGGTGACAGGTTAGCGAATGAGCTCGCCCTATCCTCGCCGACGAGGCTCTCCTGCGAGGAGGCCCCGGAGCTACCTGAAAAAGATTATCAAATTCTATGGAATTGTTTAATCTGATGCCCCAACTGTGTGTTAGACGAAGCCATACATCCCTGAAAAGCTTTTTTAGGCAACACAGCACTTTAATGGACAAATTCCATTGACGTAGGTTCAGGTATAAGGGTTAGACCGAGGTCAAAACCAGCCTGTTAGTTTCTGGTGCTCATTTCGAATCTATTGATAGCAACAACTGCATTGTACACATTCCATGGACTTCTTAGAGGTCAGAATATGTCATTGACCTCAAATGACCCGGGTCAGCTTTCGCCTTTAGAAACACGCTGCCTAGCGTAATCTTTGTCGCTTATTTAACTGCAAAATTCAGAGCAGTCTTCTATTATCTTGGCCACCATGACCTTCAAAATGTCAAACAAGGTCCCTGACGTTAGATGAACATGTGACCTTTTGCTTAGGAACAGTTATCTAGGGTCCTGGGGGTACTTTGGAGACCGGCCTGAGATTTGATATTGTTTGACCTTATTTGACCCGAAGGTCATGACCTAGGAACCACGAACTTTGTCCTAAGTGAGCTCACGTTCCCCTCAATACATCTAGTAAATTTGGTGTTTCTAGCTTCGTTAGTTCGCGAGACGGTTTTGTACGCGCGATTTCACGTTTCTGTACGGGCGTATTTAGCATAGACTTTTACGGTTCTGTACGGGCGCATATTCGAATGTTACAGATGGAGGGTGTGATTTTTATTTGACATGCTTTGTTCTATCAACAAACCAAATTTTGACGAAATCTGTACAGTCAACGAGTGCTCACTAAGAAGAAGCCTTGAACGACGTTAAACTCTCATCATTTAATAACGTGGGTGTTTTACAATGTCGCCCTTTGTGACTCATATTGTCGTAAATGGTGTTACTTCTCGTATCTGGAAGCCAAGGATCATTTCTTTCAGTGAGTAGATTGAATGTGACACGCGAACGCGCATCTGTAATATCGATTTCACACTATCAGCGTCACATTTTCAGGAGATGTGACATGTCTGTGAAGAAACCTCGGTCAAATACGTCCGTCCGTCTGATATCATACAAATTGTCACAACGCCGAAATACTGCGCATATGTCCAGGGCACCCCAAGTAGCATCTCTCAGACTCAAAATGACATATTGTCATTTGACATGTCATGTGGGAGACAACGCGAAATGCATCCGGCAGGATGTATTTTGCTGACTTCCTTGAGCTTTGCGGCATATTACAACGCCTTTGTGCCGTTTTATGTATCTGTCATCTATCTTTATGTTTAAGAGCCTCCAAAATGCGTAAATCTGAGCGTCACAAATTGCCAATAAACGAAAAATTGTGCAAGTACATGATACATTTTTGTGCCAAATTTCGTCCTGATGGAAGGAGTTTTTAATTTTCGCTGACATGCAATGCATGCATGTTACACGTGCGAGGTTATTATTTCCAAGGTTTGGATGCTGCTGGAACACGAACATTTAAATGTCGCGGTATAATATTTGGTGGCTGGATGGAGCCATGCGAGGTGAATGTTTGTGCCAAATTTTGCGACAATCAGAGGAGTCTGCGAAGGTGGAAAAACGATCTTCAAATGTAACGTATTTAATTTGCATATCACATTTCGCATGATTAACTGTCATATGACATGTCATGTGACAGACAATGCCCAGATGCATCCTGTAGGATGCAGCATTCGTTAGCCGTGGTTTCATGTTGCGACGCTGCTGGTGTCGTTTTCATGCATATGTCATACATCCCATGCTTGAAAGCCTCTAGAATGCGTAAATTTAAATGTCACAAATCGCCACTCAACAAAAACTGCACACGTACATGATGTGATTTTTTTGTGCTAAATTTCAAGCTGATCGAAGGAGTCCCGCTGCCTTATAGCTGGCATCCAATGTCTGTATGGCAACGCGTGCAGGGATGTCATTTCCAAGTTTTCAAGGCTTCTAGAAAACAAACGTTTAGACGCCACGATCTTCTATGTGGCGGTTAGGTGGATCTTCATGAGGTGTATGTTTCTGTCCAATTTGAAAGCTTTTGGGTGCCCAATTTTTATGACCTTGAACTTCTACGGTTGTGTATGGGCGTGATTTCGAATGTGATAGGTGGAAGTGGGATTTTTTATGTGAGATGCTTTGCTCTATCAACGCGCGTGTACTATCAACAAATCAAATTTGGCCAAAATCTGCGCGGTTAGCAAACGTTTACCAAGAAAAAGCTTTCAACGACGTTGAACATTGACGATCCAATGGCGCGATTGTATTTTAATGTCGCACTTTGTGGCTGATATATTTGTAAATGGTGTAACTTGCCGAATCTGACAGCCAAGTCTCGTTCATATCGGTGAGTTGATTGAATGTGACACGCAAAATTGAATCTGTAATATCAATCTAACATGGCGAGCGTCACATTTCCAGGAGCTGTGAAATGTCTGTGAATAAACCTCGCTTAGATACGGGCGTCTGTTTGATGTCATACAAGTTGTTACAGCGCTGAAATTCTGCACATATGTCCAGGACACCCTAAGCAGCACCTCTCAGAATTAAAGTTATGTGCGTCTTGTTTTGCACTCAGCCAAATAGTCTGTAAACGACATGGCGTGGTTTTTAGCCCGCCAACAACAATATATTCGTAGAAAAGCCCACGCGCTAAAATTCAACTCGCACCATTTTTGTTGTTGCGTGAAATAAATGCAAGAGAAGCTGCGCGAGCGAAACTAACGCACGAAAGCAAAGAACCATAACCATAACGAGCGAAAAAGTGGGTGAAAACCTGTGGAGGAACAGATCTGGCAAATAGAATGGGTAAGGTTCATGATTTTGGTTCTACAACGAAAACGACAGTGTCCCACCCCTAAATATACATGATCCTAATAGTGGTGTGTTTAAGAAGCCTGCTATCTATACTCAGAGTTATACGATTGTATTCTTTTTTTGCCCAGTTTTCCTTTCCTGCCCAGCAATCCAGCATAGCAAGGATTAGGAGAGATTTTGAGGTGGTGGGGGGCGGGCTGAAATCAGCACTGTTGGGCATAGGT